TAAGGATTATAAAGTAAATGAATTTTATTTATGGCGATCCTTTAAAAACAAATGAACTAGGAATTTTACATCTCTTTTCTTACTTTACATCCATGCGGCTTTAAAAGTTCCTGAACGTCGGAAAGATAATACCATAGCCATCTTTTCTCCAGAAGAAGAATTATAAATTCTATATATCTCAGCGTTAAACTTTTATCTTTTTGTAGCCTTAACCCACCAACAAGGCCATGATTATAACAAACTTGAATCTACAGCAAGTCAGCCCAGTAGTTCTTTAAATGATGCCATCAAATATTAATTCTAAATGGTTACCCCTTTGAAAGAGGGCGTGGCTATTCATTTCAACAAACTTGAATCCGTTTAACTCAAGGATGCTCTGTGGTTCTTGGGAAGAAGTTGAAAATTTGAAGAAAAAGTTTAAGGACAACAGACAACACACTTCATACAGAAGCCAGACACCCATAAATCAGAAGAGATAACTTGATATTTTGTTTCAGGTTAGCTAATTATTATATACATTGTATATTTATTTTTCGCTAAAGGTTTTCTTATTACATGTATATAATAAGGACAAAACAAATACAAGTACATTGTATAAATTAAAATTCTAAAATAGAAAAGAAAATGAATTCCTTCTAACAAAATCGATGGATACACAATAACATTCAGTTCTATAGTAAATTGATTTCATTTGAACATATTTTGTTGTCTTTAAACTTTACAACTGGGATTGGGCAAAAGTTCCATTTCCCTACATATGAATTACTTCAAAGTTAACGTATTTACATATATGGGTTTCAGCTAAAAATGAATAAACACAAAAAAACATAATACTTAGGGGAACAAACAATCAATAGGATACATTCACTAAATATTACACAAGTTGTATAGAAATTGCTAGAAGTAATCATTGCATCAACAAAAACGAACTGACTTTTTAATTAATGTTTGTACAATATTAAAAGGTATTCTTTTACAACATCATTAAACGATTCATCTCCCCTATGCAAAGTACAAGTATTAACAGCATGTTATTTCTCAATTCGCAGAAATTTATCGAAAAATTCCTTTCTGGCTTCTGTATCTTTTTTGCATGAGAATATCCATCCCTCTTCAACACGAAGAAAGGGGACTCAAAATTACATTACATTGAAAAGATCACTAGCAAGCACATATTTGTGACGACGCCTTGTATGCAATATATTTTAAGCGTCGTATTCCAAAACTCAGGTAAGAGGGTGGCAATGGTTTATTGAAAAAATACATTTTCAAAAGTAGATAATGAGGAGTCATTTCTCAAAACAAGACGTATTGAGTTCCATTCGTCAATAACAACGGGAATGAAAGTTGACTAATAGGTTTGTAATCTGCATTTGGGTATGTTGTAGTTAAGTGAAGTTTTCGTACTGTAACTTGATGAATAACAACACAAATTTGGGATTATATCAATCAGATATTCAGGAACTTGGCTATTATAAATTTTGCACATTTTTGTTAATCTTGAAATTTTTCTTCTTTCATGAAACGTTATCTATCCAGTTTCAATTAAAGTGCATCTTCAGAAGCTAATAGAGTTAGGCCTGTGACAATTAAGCAGTACATAAATGTAATTGTATTTTTTTCTATTTTTCTTTCACTATCACCTACATTACATAAACCCCACAGCAAGGAAGCATATTCTAAGTGTGGACTAATAAAGGATTTGTGTACATGAGTGAAAGAGTTTTCCAGTTGACTACAAATTTATTTTTTTAAATTAACGCAATTTTTTTTTTACACGCATTAGCTAGAATAGTATCAATATGTATAGACCAACTAAGATCATGAGAGAAAACAAGAGACCCAAGGGTCTTGAATCGCTCTTCAGATAAATTGTACACTTACATTTGAAGTCTCTAAGAATCCTATAATTAGATAAAGCCCTGAAATTCCAAAAGTACGTCATCATGACCTACATTTTATTTAAAACACTTTGAGAACCCAAGATGAATCAACTGACAAAGTGTGATGATTCGAAGCCCCTTACTATCTTAAATATTCAGATATGGCCATGAGATTTTGAGATTCCAAAAATGGGTTACTGTAACTTATTTTTTGATACACATACTCCGAGACCTCAAAATGCCTCAACTTACAAAGATTGTTGATTTTAAGACTTTTATTATTTGATATATTTAGATGTTGCCATGAAATTTCAAAAGTAGGTCAGTGTGACCTACTATTTAGTTGACACATTCTGAGGACCCAAGGTGCATCAACTGACAAAGTATGATGCTTCTAAGCAAATAAGTAACTAAGATATTTGAATATAGCCATAAAATTTGAAAAGTAGGTCACAGTGACTTACTTTTTGGTTGATTTTCTCTGAAGGCTCAACATGCATCAACTGACAAAGATTGATGATTCTAAGTCAATAAATACCTGAGATTTTTAAACATAGCTATTTAATTTCAAAAGTACGTCATGTTGTCCTACTTTTTGGCTGACATTCTCTGAAGATCCAAGATGCATCAACTGACAAAGTTTGACGATTCGAAGCCAATAAGTTCCTGAGATATTTAAATAAAGCCATAAAATTTCAAAAGTAGGTCACGGTGATCTACTTTTTTGTTGACATTCTCCGAGGACCCAAGATACATCAAGTGACAAGGTTCGATAGTCATAAGTCTGAAAGTGTCTAAAATATGCCTCTAAAACAATTTGAAAACGAATGCCTGCAAAATTCAAAAAGTATGTCATTGTGACCTACTTTATTATAAATATGTTTTAAGGTCCTAACATGCTTCAATTTACAAGGTTTGATGATTCTTAACTTTTCAGTATTTAAAATAATGACCTTTAATGTTTTGAAAAAGATTAGCCAAAAAATTCAGAAGGTAGGTCACGTTGATGTACTTTGAGGACCCAAGATGCATCAAAGTTAAATGATCATAGACCTTAAAGTGTCGAAAATATTCCTCAAAATCAATTTTTAACAAATGCCCACAAAATTCTAAAAGTAAAAGTGGTCACCGTGACCAACCTTTGAGTAAACATGAAATGACGTCCTAAGATGCATCAACTGACAAGATTTGATGATCCTAGCCCTAATAATAAGCAAATCATCAACGTTTTAATAAAATGTAAGTTTTGGACATTGAACCGACCTCGATGCCACGCTTTTAGCCCTAGGGAGATGCCTTGTGCAATTTTTCATCTTCAACGTATCCTCATCCTTATGTAAGTCTGTTGATAATCTGCCCAGTGGTTCTTTTAGCAACCAGTACTTTTGGTTTTATTTACCTAATTATCTCCCCTTGTTTAAAGGTCACAACTCTAGTTTTAGTACAAATGGGAGCCCAGGGACAAGGATACCCTTTAACAAATTTGACAATAATTGGCCAAGGAGTCCCTGAGTTATGGCATTATTCTAAAAGTTAACATGTACGCACACCGCACCAATGGCCATAGTATTAGGTCTTTGAGCCTTTGGCTCAGCAGAGCTAAAATTTCCAAAATATTTATGCAAAGAAACAAATTCTAGCTGATTTTTTCTGGAAGAATAGTTCAGGATAATAAAGAGTTCCTCTAAAGTTAAAAAAAAATCTCTTAAGTTTTAGAAGGACTGAATTTGAGAAAAAAAAATTCGACCAAATTTCTAGCTAGCTTGGGAAAATCGGAATTAGTTTGTTGTTGTAGATAGTATTGACATTTTTAGATGATAGCTGTAGGGAGTTATCATCTGCAAATGATCTACAAAACTTTTCATTTCTTCCGCAACATCATTAACATTTATAAGAAATAAAAAAAAGGTTCTAACACTGAACCTTGAGGGACACCCACATACATGGGTTTTTCGTCAGATAACAGGTTTCTGGATAAAAGCGTTGTGATCCACCTTCTTATAACTCTAACCAATAAAACAGATTTCCATCTATACCATACGTTCCGAGTTAAAATAAGAGACCCTTATGCCACACACAATCAAATGCAATTTACAAAGGTCACAGAATATCATGTAACATTTTTCACCGTCGTTAATAGCTTGAACAATAGTGTCATATGTTTCTATTCACTGATATACAGTAGAATGACAAGGTAAAATCTAGCTTGGTATTAATAAAAAGATTGTTCCCTGACAAAAAATACTAAAAAAAACTATAGTCAACTACAGTTTACTATTGTTAACTCTAACGTACAATTTAACTTGGTTGGTTTTAAAAGTTTTTACTATAGTAAATCAAAGTCCCAAAGTTTTCACTGTAGTAAATCAAAGTTTTTCGTTTGATACTATTGTTAAGTATAGTATTAATCTATAGTTTACTGTAGTATTTTTGTTGGGGTTATCACGAAAGTGACTGTAAAGGTGTTGGAATATAGTTGGGTCCATTACTTTACCAAAACAACTTAACAATGACACAGGTCTATTATTACACATAATGGAAGGATCATCTTGCTTAAAAGGAAGAACATTGCATTGGCAATATACCATTTACAAGGAAAAATACGAACACCTTATGACCTGTTAAACAATAAACATAACGGTTTATCAGTACTTTATATTGTAGATTTCATCATCGATATATGATCGATATAATGAAACATTTGTGTACAAATGTAAATGTAAGAGTTTTAAAATTTGTACTCTATGCATCATAAAATGTTCTATTAATACTTCTACAGTTAATTGACATACCAAAATAATTGAGTACATAATTATGTAAATATAAGATTTTTTGGCATTTTGATATATCTTGAAATGTGATTTTCCTGTGCCCTTCTCTTCGAATTTTGACCAGCATTCATGGTATTGCAGTTTTTTGGGGTCCTTGCAGAAAAAGGTTGAATTCATTGTAATCAGTGGCTCCAGAATTGCGGTGACAATATTAAATTGTCTAAAATTTTGGAGCTTGGATCAACCTCTCGATAAATCTCATAAATCTCAGGTCCAAGTATCAAATCGTACAAACAAAATCATTGTTATTTGATAATGAGTTTAGAATAGTTTAATGATATAAACATTCATGTAGTCATACATTCTACGAGTAATACTCCTAATTTGGAGCATCCTTGCTTTCAAGCTTCAATACTGCTGTTTATTTTTTTGCACATCAGACAATATTGACTTCACCATTTCATGCTGACTTTCCATTTTTATCCTTTCTATTACAGCATCTTCAGTTTCCTTTCTTAAGGTCAGTTCCTGAATTTCATTAAGGTTAACCAAGTAAATCTTCCTAGTGAAAGTTTCCAATCTTTGACAGATATCTGAAATTGTCGACCAGGTTGTACAAGTAATTATTCAAACATTCCACTCAGCATTCTAAGAGTGGTAATCCTAATTTGTAGTTTCTTTGTAAGGTTGTAACATGGATTCAAATTCTTGCATATTTGATTTGATTTTCTCCCACATTTCTTGCATTTTTATAACAGCATCTTCATCTTCCTCCTTTATTTTTAGTTTTTGAATATTTTTAAGTTTATCCAAATACTTCTTTCCAGTGAAGGTTTCCAATCTCTTGCAGATGTCTGACATCGTTGACCAGGTGTCATCAAATTCTGTCTGAGGGGTGGAGGCTGAGCTCACATGTGCAGTCAAACTGTTTCGGATTGACCTAATTCTCTCGATATCATCTCCTACGGTCACCTCTCCTGCTGCTGGCTCTTCTCCCCATTTTCCTTTTGTTGGTTTGGGAATCTTTGAACAAATGTTTCTGATCAATGTGTATGTTAATGAAATATCTAAATTCTTATATCCTGATTGTTGAGGATTTTGTAAGAGATATTCTTGCTCGGGGCGTAATCTTTTATAAATTGATGATGCTTTCACCTTGTTGTAAATTAGGAAAGGGGGAACCTCCATCTCTAGTATATCTCTGTATGCCTGAGTTAACACATCGTTTGTTGCCATTCCAAGTTTGGCAAATCTAGATTGGCCCTCAAGGTCTTTTCCAGAAGGCATGGAAGTGCTGGGATTACTCGGTTTTGTCTGAAATAAAGTTCCACATATTTAGTTAAAATTGCTAAGTGATTTTAGAGGAATATCAGGCATTCTAAAAAAAATGTGCCCAATTAAAAAATTTTTTATGTCGCTTACAAATTTAGCGTCGTAATCTCTTAACTATAAAGAAGATGGGTGAACATGACGAGCGAAAAGCCTATAGTGTGACAAACATGAAGGTGAAAAATTAAATTTTAATTATATTGAAAATTTCCTTGATATTTCATCTAACATTAAAATATACTTTATGTAAAATCTCTACAATTTGCAAAAATTTCGAAAAGATTGAAATTATTTGCTTATGAAATATTATAAACACACTAAAGAGGGCAAAAAGAGTCATTTTCTCACACTTTAACACTATTTTTCGATATGAGTGGGTCTTCGCTCCATTTTTTTGCATAAAAAATATGCAGTTTTTGGTTTCCAAAAATATGGAGCAAAGACCCACTATACCTTAAAAATATACTTTTATAACATAAAGTTCACATTTCAAGAAATACTTGAAGTCCATTAAGTCAAGGGTCATATCACAAACACGATTTAAATGCCACTTTTCATCAGGACTTGTGTAGTCTAGTGGTTAGCGTGCTAGTCTCGAAAGAAAATGATACTCAGGATTTTTATTGCTAGGGTTCGAATCCCACGAATACTAATTATTTTTTAAATAAAAGAATAAATTTTGCCGAGAAAAAATTTCCTCAGAAAAGTGTTGTTTTTCATAATTTCACGAATTTCAATAATGAGAACTTTACTCTAAATACTAAATTCACAAATTGAAATGATTTTTCTATACCTGAAGCTATAGGCTTTCTGCACGCTATGTTCACCCATCTCCTTTAAAGACCGATTTCAATTCTAAGACTTAATATACACATATGGTTTTGTAAATATTTACCGATATATATGCAATCAAAGTTTTGATATGAATACAATACAATGTTGAAAAACGTATTCCACTGCAAATCTTCATGTTGCTTCATTCATATGCAAATTTCAAGATGAAATTTTCAGCCGTGAAAGAGTTCAGATAAATTGCAATTAAATGTTTAAAAAGTTTTTTTTTTCCTTTATAAAAAGAAATCAAAGCACTTCTCACAAAGAAATGCATGAATCTTCTTTCATACGAAATCATAACATGTCGCTAAAAATCAATTAACTTCCGTTATAAATTTGAATGCAGATTTCAAAAAGTAATGAAACTTTTCTGAAAGTGACCATGGAACCTTTTATCATCGATTCTAGTTGCGAGTCAGCTATTTTAGACCATTACATTTTCGACATAACAAAATGAATTAGACAAACGCAGTTGTCTCTCTTAAAAATATGACTTCCAAAACGGTAATTCAGGAAAGATTTTGCATAGGCATGAAAAAATTTATTGTTTTGGGAGCAAAATGCTTCATACTTTTGTTAAGCATGATAAAACAAACGTTAATTTTAACTATTTCTGAGTATTTTAACTTTTATTGTTGGAAATTAACTTCCGTAATAATAAACTTCCGCAAAAATATTTTTCCCAAAATTTTAACTTATTATCGGATTCATGCGAGACTTCATGAATCATCAGAAAACAAAAATTTGGTCAATTTTTGGTATTTTTAAAATAATTTGTTTAAGTTATTAAATGTCATTATTTTGGGTTATCTTTCCCTGATTATGCTTTTCTTCAGTAACTTATTCCAGTTATTGATACTTTACTATTCATTATTTTAAACCTACTGGTATCTGAAAAGCTCTATTCATGCTGTACTTGGGTTATTTAGTAGATGGAAAAGGATCATGACAGTAAAAGTAATCTATCTTTAAGATTTAACAAGCTGAAATTCAACAAATCATAACTTATTTCAGTTATTTCAACCTTAACCAACCTCACTTTAGAACTCTTGCACAAAAATCTACAGCTTTGCACAAAAAATGTAAGACATAGAGATTGTACAGTAATATCCAAGGATTTTAGGAAAATTAGTCTCACTGTTGGCAAAATTGGAGGAAGTTGTGTAATTGACCTCTGAAATGTTCATGAAATGCAATTATTTTCCCTGAAAAATATCATGATATTTTAATAAATATCATCATACCTGCTCAGGAGATATGAAGTCTATTGAGTCTATTAAAAGAAGTACATATATTTACAACTTTCTCAGCCTTACATCATCTTAAATCAGCAGCAAACTCAAAATATTGATGTTTTTTGGCGGCATTCTACATTTTAAGAATTGACTCAAATGAGTTATTTCTTTGTTTAGTAATAAATAAGTGAAGTAACCTAAAAAGTTATTTTAAAAAATAACTTGATTCCATCATGCCCCTGACTGTTTGTTGACATTTTTCTTTTCCAAGTTCACTTGTATGTCCTTTAGAGAATTATGATTAATTTCTATTGAACCAATTATTTTTTTCATGTTTTATACTCGCAGGTTTCGACATTCACGCTCGTCACCTCGTCATTTCCACCCCCGGATGATTTTTGACGACTTGATTTTCAGTCTGGCTCGCCCAAATGACGACCTGGGAAGAGTTGGGAATATTCAATAATGATGTTTAATATTTTAGAATAAACTTTATAAGGCCTTGAAAACATTGTTTCCTGTAACCCAACGACCCATTCAAATTGCAGCCGCGTTGATTTTTCTTTCTGCCAAATCAGTGTTCGATCAATCAGCTAATGCAATTTTTACCAAAAGTCTTAAATTAAGTTTTATTTGAGATATAAAATATGTCAACCTAGTCAACAATCACCTTAAATATAAAGAGTAATAGCGAGTGCAGCGAGCGAGGCAAAGCGCCGCTTGCAATGCTAGCTCTAACGACAACACCTGGGCGAAGAGAAAATTCGGACTTACACATTTTTTTCCACAGTAACATTTGGACCCACACTGCATTGCTTGTTTAAGCTATGTTCTCGCGAGAATAACAACAAAAGTTTAACAAAAAATAAACTCGCCTTGATTTTTAATGGATATATTGCAGGTAAATTGTAAATAAAAGGTTCTTCATTAAAGTCAACAATGTTCAGGCTTCGGTTTGTAATGCAACTTAAATACGACGTCATTGACGTCAGAGTCTAGACGCACTAAATGTCACATGCAGTTTGACGATCGAGCCCGATCTAAATTAAACCTGAATAAATTTCTGCGCTCGCCCTAACGGTCGCACTGTCAACATATTAATCATCATTGTAACATCTAGCATTTCCCCCCACAACTTTCTGATGTTCGTTTTCTGCTGCTAGACAGCCATGTTGGGTGTCCACTGTAACACACACCCGGTTAATTCAGTCCAGGGATATTTGACCCTATTATTTTGGCCTTTATAGTAAGTGAAAATGAATGTTTTAGCCTAGAAACTTTATTATGTATCAATATGCGAGATTGTACATCGATACATTAGCCAAAAGAAAAAAAAATCCCGACCTACCAACCCTCGATTTTTTTGGGAATATTGCAGGAATCAAACATTTGTTCGGGCAACCTGAAATACATTCGGGCAACCTGCGATCAGTACCAGGGTTGCCCAAATGGCGAGACTAAATTTTGACGAGTGTCGAACCCTGATACCCTGAATTGCACCATTTATCGTAGAATGACTCATAAATTAAAAAAAAAAAAATCATATTTTGAATTGAATATTACATATAATTTTTTTTCTTGGAAAATAAGATCCTAAAGTGGATATAAGTGGATGCAGCATTTAATGAATAAATTTAATTTAAATGTTGTTATGGTCTAAAAGGATATTGATTTCATATAATTATTCAATAAAAAACTTATCAGAATTGCTAAATTGGTTTGCAGTTGCCAAATATATATTTTATATTGATGTAGTATTTTACATTTTAGAAGAATTACCTGTTTCCAATATTTTGTTATATCTCCTGTGATGATACAATGCTTTTTGTTTGCCGGACAGGATGGACACAGAAAAGTTTCTCTGACAAATTTAGATTCACTTATAACAGCGCTTTCTTTGTTATTACAAAATCCAGTTGATTTGCATTTGAATGCAACCTGGAATTCTGAGTTTTTCTGGAATGTGTTGGAAAGGTTCAATAATATACGGTCAATGTTTTCTCTAATCTGGTGACATTTTGAAACATCAACGTCTCCCTCCACAACAAACACTTGCAGTTGAATTTCTGTTTGAGTCATTCCAAGCATGATGTTATGGTGCTGGTCATGAAACATGAAAATAGCTACAGTCTGGTAAATGCATCCTCTTTCTTCATCAGAGAAAATGTCCCAATTAGGAATCTGCATGCAGGTTGCTACAAGGCGATGGAAAATTTCCACAGGAAGAACATCAATCGTGTAGCAAAGGATGGAGGAGGCAGGGTATGATGAGAAGCAGTCTACTGGAAATTGCATCTTGTTCATACAAGGGACATACCACTTTTTGTCACTCGTTTTAGCTAAGAGTCCAAGCTTCTCCATGTACATCATGATGTCTTCTTTATGCTCAATGTAATCATTATTGTGTATTGTCCATATAGCATTAAGGAGTGTTTCATCTAACTCTCCAGTTTCATTGAATTTGTCCCATTCTGAGGCAAATTCGAATAAATCCTCTTTTGCATGGTTTTTATCTGTTATGACATTTTTAAATGCATCTGCAAACCACTGAACATCGAGAATAACAGTTTCATTTAGGAATTGTTGATTGAAGTGTATAATTTCTCTGATATCATGGAAGAACTGCAGCATGGCATTCATATCTTCAATAGTATGGAGCTTTATTCCCTCTGGTAATGTTTCATTGAAGGACTGAAGTTCATCCCTACTCAAAATCTTGTGGATTTTCTTTTTCCGAAAGAGTGTTTCAAACATAGCCCATGACTGTGGAAGCTCTTCACCCCAGTGATCAAGCCTGCACACCACATCAGCAATGGACAGCTTGAGTTTTTCAATGCTTTCATTGTCATGGAATCCAACTGCAAATCGCCGCTTCACATCAATATGTTTTTGTAAAGACTTCTTCTTCATGTCTAGAGTCTTCCATACTTCACGGAAAAACAATTCTTTTTCCTAATGAAGACAAATTCCTTATTTTATTTTATGCAAACAAAGAAGTCATGGTAAAATAATGTTCATACTGATACAAATGTTTTCTTATTTTTTGTTCACACAGACTTTATAAAACACAAGCTTAAGTATACATTAAATTAAAAATTTACAGATAAAAAAAAAAACCATGACAAAGTAAAATTTTTTTATGAACAATAGATATACAAAATTTACTTGTATTATTTACAAAGGAGAGAAAATCAAATGAGTGATTCTGTGCTTTATTTTATAATAAATCCATGAGACCAATAACCTACAACATTTACTCTTAGACACATTATTGACCTTTTTCTCTCTGAGAAAACAAGAGGCCCATGGGCCGCAACGCTCACCTGGTTAACTTTGGCCCTGCTGTTCTTCACCTGATTTCCTCCTTGTAATACCTACTGTGGCCCTGCACTACCCCTGGCATCATGATTTGAATAATTTAGAATCTACACTCCTCAGAATGCTTCCACTTAAAGGTCAAATATAATATTTTTTTGATAATACATAATTACTCATGATTATCAACCTTTGGAGAAATACAAATAATCGTTATTCTATGGTCTGTTTATTTTTTTATCACCAATGTCATCACTAATCGTCATTTAAATTTGACTGTGTGACAAGTGGAGCGATTATTGTAAATCGCTTCTCTCCCTTGTTGTTTGACATCATAAGAGACACCGAGAAATAAGAAAGTACAAACTATACTGCCGGTTATGGAACATTACATAAGCAATTTCGCCACATATGATCCACATATGCATTGCCTTTCATATGAGGAGCATATGAGAATCATATGTATATTCAATCATATGAGTATCATATGTGGTAAATCATATGTGGATCATATGAATACACATATGTAAATCATATGAAGCAATATACATATGATACACATATGAAAGTTCCTATATATGAGAATCATATGCATACTTTGAGGATGATCATATGAGAATCATATGAAACAGATCTGTGTGTGTTTATTTATTTGTCCTTGTTATAAACAGGTAAAATTCATTTTTATTTTAATTCAATGAGATAAAAAAATACATTTATTCAATGTTAACCAGTTAACACTTGAGTAATTTCATATTAAGCTTAATATGAATAAGTTGTTGTTATATTTTAACAAGTAGACTGCATGATTAAAAAATAATTTCAATAACATATATCAAGATGTGTAAATTTAAATGTATATTTATTCAAAAGAATCAAGATGTTCATTTCCTTGAGAAGCTTGGATAAAAAGGGAATAAGTACTCTGTTACCCCCCCCCCCCCCAAAAAAAATTCTTTTATAAAATTCAAAATTTGTTTTCTTGCAAAACAAAATTCATCAAGAATAAATCAATTTGTATTTTATCCAAAAACCGTTATGGTTGGGTTTATTTTACGAGTAAAATTAAAATCATTCCACATTTTATTTACGGACCGGTTTCGGTTTTTATCAGATGAAAGTGTACGTCATGTTTGACGTCACTACTGCAGCAGAAGAGTTGGGTGTTGGAAAAAGAAAGTGATGTCAGATACGTTTTAGAAGACTTTTTAAAGGCTAGTTCATTGTGTTTAGATCATTTCATTACGGTTACAAATCCCTATAAACTTTTTAGTACTCTCATCACTTGTATGTACGTAATTGTTATATAAATTAATGCAGTTCGTAAAAAGCCGATAAACCTAGCGATCAATAAGTAGCCTAATTTTGGATTTGTTAATGATGAATGTTAAGACAATTTAGCATCACTAATTCTTCAGATTTGTTTCCCTTTTGTTAATAGCTACGCTTGCATATTCGATATGAAAGTGAAAGTAGAAACCTTGTATAGCAGTTAACGTAAAATGTTTGTTGAGATCCTTATTCATTCGGTTCTTTCATCAAATTAAGAGAAATGTGTTTTAAACATTGTATTTATGAACTAGAGTTCAGTGTCACAGTGCTGTTTTTGTATTCTTCTTTTTTTTTTTTTTTTTTGGTTCAAAGAACCCCAAAGCTGATTAGACTGACGATTGAACACAAAGCTGATTTGACTCACGATTAAACACAAAGCTGGTTTGGCAGACGATGCATGATCACAATGCAGGTAAAAATAAATAAATAAATACAATAATCATCACAGTATATATAAGTAATGACTTAAACACATATCAAAAACTAAATTAACCCAACTCTTTTTTCCTACAGAACAAATCCAGCACACTTATAAAATATATATATAAGTAGGAAAACATATGAAAATATGTAAGGCATAGATTATAGAAATTGCTGGCTATAAAAACTATGAAAAACTACAAAACTGTACAATATCTTCTGGGGATAATGACTTTTAGCTTAATCAGACATTCAATGTACTATTACTTGTGTATTGTATTGAAAGTATACATTAGCTAATTTCATTTGATTTATATTTACATGCATGTATATAATTTGACATTTATAGATTTTTTTTCAACACTAGAGAATTTAACCTAAAGACTTGTACTCACTCTCTTTTGTAGTTTCTTTTAACTTTTAGTTTGATTAGATATATGTCTAGAAAATATTTACTGTGTGAATATTTGTTTTATAATTTATATAGATTCAATATACAGTCAGCCTCTCTCATTAATAAAATGGAAGAACAGACACCAATATGCTAGGCTTGCTTCAAAATAGGTATGTACACCCTGTATAATAAACTTTGTTATATTTTTCCCAACAAAGTTTTGGGATATTCTGGAATCACAATGTCTGTTTCGCTGCCTGTTTGTTCGTCTGTAGATTTTTTAGTCCAATAATTATACATTTGTATCCAAATCTATTTAATTTTTTGCAATCTGAATTATATAATTATACTATTTGAACATTCCAAATTCAACTGTGAAAATTTTTGAAAAAAAGTTGTTGCTTTTAAAATTTTATGATTTTATTATGAAGCATGTCTTCCAAAAGTGAAATAAATGTCTTGGAAATAATATAGGGTGTCAACAACTGTTTTAAAACATTACCAGTAGTTTTATTATATAAATGTATACATTATCATGTACTTTGGTTAATGATTTGGGGGTCTGCATCAAGCAGAAATGGAGTATATATATTATATCAATTTTTTTTTTATATAAATTAAAAATTTGCAGAGAGAATGTCAGATGGCTTAAAGAAAGATTTAGCATCAAACCCTGGATTTCTTTTAAGGATACAGAAGTACAGGTATGATGAATATAAATGCTAGCTAACTATTTTGCAAGAATTGAGCATTTAAGTAGATGCACTGCATGAGCATGTATGTCAAATTATATGAAACTAATAAAGTTTATAGTGAACCATTTTTTCTTGAAGAATCTTGATATGTGTTTGATGTATATAAAAATAAGTGAAAAATGCATTGCTTTTTTCATTCAGGAGATGCTCAGCAATCTGGCAAAGAAGGCTGGCTGGACATGAAATGTTATGGGGGTTATGTCTAGCTAATTGGATTCCACTAAATTCACATATTTACTGAAATCAGATCAGAGCAAAGGTGTGCACACATTTTATTTATATTTATACATATCATCCTAAGAAGTACCAAAGTCTATTGCTAAATTGAATTACCTCCTCAAAACAAAATTTTGCACTGCATTCCATTTAAGCTATACATTGTGAATTGAATTGTTTAGAAAAAAATGTTTTAGCTGATGGGTAACAAAGAAGTTAATGTAGAGGGTCCCTCCATTAAGTCTCTACATAATTATTGATGAAAATGTTTCCTTCCTCCTACAATTATGCTAACAAATCCACAGAGGGAATACTTCACGCTGATGCTAGTATGAAAACGGTAAGCAGTCAACATTTTCAAAATGTAAAAATATTGATGTTAAATATTAATGTTAAAATTTTGAAATATATATTTGTTTATTGGAAGGACATCTTTGCTGGTAAATATGATTAATGATAGAAAATTAGTTCATGTTAAATTGTTTGTTGGATGTCACAAACAATTTTTCCAATCATCTTTAAAATCACTTGAGCCTTTAGCTCAGATGAGCTAAAAACAAGTACTTGAATTTTTAAATGAAAGTACTTGTTTTTAGCTCATCTGATCCGAAGGCTCAAGTGAAGTTTTCTGATCAAAGTTGTCCATTGTCCATCATCATGGTTGTTGGCATAAACTTTTCACATTTATGTCTTCTCCAGAACCACTGGACTAATTTCAACTGAACTTGGCAAAGAGGACCAATAGTAAGGTACCAGTAGGGGTTTAAAGTTCAACCTATAGATTATATAGGGTAAAGTCTTTAAAATCTTCTTTTCAAAAACTACCACACTACAATTTATGATATTATTTTGCAAACATCCCTATGCAGTGTTGTTTCAAGTTTGTTAAAACAATGACCTGACTAAACCACCAGTGGGGCCCCTGAAGGGTTGCAAAATTTTACATAGTAATTTATACTTGTGTATAGGAGAAAAAATAAGTCTTTTTAACAAATTCTACATGGCTACAATGGGGCCTAAGGAGGGAATCATGAGTAAAGAGCTAGGTTCACTTTATGCATAAAATGGCCCTGTAGATATACCAATTTATTGACTAATACCCCGTGTACCATTTTCAACATTATTATAAAGTAGAGACTTAGTGCTTTCAGTTTATACAACAGAATTTCCTTTGAAGACTTCAGGCATTGAAAAACAGGTTCTGTGAAATTGCAATTTTATTGAATTTCGCAGAAAACAAATGTTTTTGAGAACCTTCAGCAAAGAATTAAAATATGAGCACACGCCTCGATCCAAAAATTAAAATATGTTTTATAATCTACATTAACAGTTCTTTTACAATATATTTACACATTTTGGATCGGAGGTTGTGCTGTATATGAAATATTGAAAAATGGCATTATAATTTGGCTATTTTTGAAGAAATATTCAGGATATGTGAATAATGACGCAATTCATGACGTCATAATGCATTGACTAGACCGAAAATTATGTCATTTTCAGTAGATATTCATTCACCA